TGGTCCCGACTAGCGAAGGTTCTAACGGTAAAAAAGTTTCGAAGTCCTTGAAAAGGTGGTGGACGGTTGGCGAGAGGACTGGGGAGAATTGTGAAAGAGGCGGAATTTTGACGCTCAACTCGTTTAATTTTCGGACTGTGATTTATGAAACGTGCTGTCGAGCGTTGTTGAGCAGGATCGGTTCTCTTCTGTTGACCCGAGCCGGCAGCTGATGACGCAATTTTTGGTACATTTCGTCGACTTCCTCAAAATAGGACACTGCTGTGATGGTTTGGTCCGGTTGCAGAACGTTGACCAACTGTTGACCACCATATAATAACCATGGTCTTTTTTAGTTGGTTTTCGCCTTTGGAAGTATATGGAAGGTTCATCGGTGTCCTGTCCTGAACGTCTTCTGTTGTAGAGAATCCACTTTTCATCACAGACGATCCGATCCAAAAAAGCATCGTTTTGGTTGAGCAAAAGCAAAAAAGAACATATCTCAAAACTTGACAATTCCTGTCGATCGTTAAATGGTGAGGCACCCACTATTCAAGCTTTTTGCCTTTCTAATACGTATTAAACCATAAAAAATTGCATGGAAGGTGAAGCTCAGTTCTTCCGCCAGAATTTGTAGAGAGAAATTGACAGAAAATCACTGGACATCATTTCGAAATAAGCTAAAAAAAGGCAAAAAATTAAAATTAGAAAAAAATGAACAGCATAGAGTACAAAATTCTATATCGATCAGTATATACCACGACACAATATAATAAATACTTATTAACCTAGGAGCTAAAAAAATACATGACATCAACACGGACAAAACTTTGAAATAACCTAATATTTCCATATCCACAAATCTGTTTAAAAACAATATTCAAATCGTCCAAATTTTTGGATTGTAACGATACAAAAAGTAGTAAGTATACGTGTCAGTAGTCTTATTTGCTAACAGACAATAATCAAGAGTTTCAAAAAAAGCACCGTTCGCAAACACCAGAACTGCAACACTCTTCTCGGTGTGCGTTTCACCAACAAGTTAGCGTCTTCAGGAGATTAAGCAGACTCAACTCCAAACCTGGCCGGTATTCTAATAGGGTACGCTCTCGGCGCAAATTTCACCAACCTACACCAACTATGAAAGTTTACTCTGTTAAGTATTTATAGAGACCAGGTTCAGAGCAGCTAGGAATTAGTCTACTCTTGAATGAGCCAACTGAATTAATTGCCAACGAGACAAACGGTTCAGAGCTAATTGTGAGAGGTCATCGTCAGGAGGACAATTTAACGGTTCCAAGTTCAAGAAGTGGCCTGGAATAAGAGCTAGAAGATCGTTAGGATCGGAGCTGGTAGGACACAGTGGTCTTGAATTTGAAATAGCTTCTATTTGAATCAGTAATGTGTTGAACTCCTCATAAGTAAGTATTTGGTCGCCGAGAAGTCTACAAAGCTGAGATTTTATCGATTTAATCCCAGCTTCCCATAATCCTCCGAAGAGCGGATTTGATGGTGGAATAGATTTCCATTCAATTTGCTCTTCTTGTGTCGCAACTTGAAGCACCAACAAAATTTTTCGCATTTTCATCAAATATATAAGATACTCGACCGCGACGGGACATAAATCGTTTTAAGGCTGCTATGAATGTATCGGTGGAAAGATCAGAGTCTTCTTTTCTTCGGAGATAGCCGCATAGCGTGATGGGAGTTGAGTGGAGGCAGAAGGCCAAAATTCAGCTGATTGTGATAGACTCACTGGACCCGCCCACCAACCATAACGAGCGATTGACAAGCTGGGAAGGAAGTAAACCCCTTGAACAACAATCCGCTGGGTAATTCTAAACGGCATATAATACCACACATCTGGCAGGAGTCGTTCTTGAATATGGTTAACACGATTACTTACGAAGGTTTGCCATCTATGAGGGGACAAACGAATCCAATCCAGAGCCGTAGAAGAGTCTGACCAAACTACAATATTGTCGATAGAAACTTCTTGGTCAAAAGAGGATTTAACGAAAGCGAACAAATCAGAAAGAAGTACAGCTCCAAGTACCGTCTCGATTCCAAGTTCTAACCTTGGACGGTTTTGAGGGGAGATATTTTATTTAGCACAAACCAAGCGAACATGGACAATTCCATCTACACCAGTTCTAGAATATATAACTGCTGAATATCCTTTCTCACTGGCATCAGAAAAGCCATGTAAGGTGCAATTGGTAACTGATGGTCGGATTTGAAAGTACTTCAAGCATTATGGATATCTTGGGTTGGCTTTTCATCCCAGCCGATACATGTCCACAACTGTTGAATGGTGCTGAAGAAACACCATACGTCACAGTATTCAGTTCATATCCCTGAATAGGTTGATCACAAAAAAAAAAGGCCAAAGAATTCGTTGATAATGCCTGTGATCATCAGCGATTAGAATTTGTCGATAACTTTGACGAATATCACCCATCAAAGCTATCGCGTTTGTACGAAACTTTAGCAAGATAGTAACAAGGTCATTCTGAAGTTAAGGGCCGATCAGTAATATATCATTCAGAGAGATTCCTTCCGAGGTTTTTGCCGAAACGTCAAACACAACACGGAGTATAGTACTAACACTTTCCGATCGTATAACAATGATGTGGAAAATAGTACGATCCAGATTCCATTGCTGGTTGTTTAATGAGAGACATGTGATCTTGTGTCTAGTTCAGCCATAAAATCACAATATTGTTCACATAAAGGTGAGTTGCGACGTAATCGACGTTCAAGAGAGATGAACCTCCGACTTCCGAAGAACGAAATGGTAGAGAAACGATTAATCGCCCTGCAGCATTTCTAGAGACAGACGCGTTGAAGAGAGTTTCAGCAAGTTCATCCTCCGGGTTCTCCTTACATTTTCTAGGTATCTCTTCAATTTCCCAGAAACGTTTGAAGGCAGAGTCAAGAGAAAGTTCACAAGAGCAATGCAATGAGCTGAGAGGAGATGAAGTAGTAGTACATTGAACCGTACCCATTAACGTACGTTCGAGTTGCCAACCACTCTTCCTGTTTTCAGAACAATAGAGAAAAATCTGCACCAAGCAAAATATCAATTTCAGCAGGCAAGTTAAATACTCTGACCTTCTGGTAGTTGCCAGAAGCATCAAGAACTTCTATACAAGCAGTGGCCAAGAGTACAGTGAAATTTGAGGATAAGGAACAATAATGGGTATTCACATTTTCTTGAAATGATGTACGAGGATCTCCAGAGAAAGATTGAGTGAATAGTGAGAATTAGCATGATTATTAGCACCGGAAGAATCATTTGCGGGTACCCGTTGACTATTGCTAGACGAAACGGTTCTAGCTGTCGGTGGATTTGGAATTACGGTATTTGTCAAAGAGTGAGGAGGAATTTAACTTTAGGAGGAGCGCTGATACATAGGAGTTTCGTCAAAATATAATAAAGTATGATGATGTTGACCACATTTGACATACTTGAGTATTCGCACCACAATCTCTGAAAGCATGCATTGAGCCTGAATAATTCACGCACCACTTATGAGTTCTTACGACACTAAACCGCGCACGTGGAGATTGAGTCAAAAATCGAAGACATTTGTAGATAACATGTTCATCGGCACACAGGAAACAAGTAATTTTTGTCTGGATACGGAACGAAGAACGTTTTGGAGCAAAGTTTGAAGTTGGGAATGACTGAAAACAATTACGAACTTTCACCTCGACTTTAGATGGCCTTTTTGAGAGTAATCAGTGGCAAAGCACAACAGTGATTCAAGATGAAATCTTTAAGAACATCAAAGGTAGGAATATCGTTCGATCCATAATCAATTTTAAACCTCGAGACCGTATCTGAATCGAGTCGTCAGAGCAAAATATTGAAGAGAAGAAAACTTCATTGATCTGTTGGAAAGTTAAGTTTTTCAGAGCGGCGGGATTTTCCGTTTGTGTCCAACAATTTTCGAAGGTTATAGGAAGTTACACCATTGTCGGTAAATTTTTGAGCATTTTCCAATTTCTGATAGTGAGCTGTGACTAAAAGTATTTTATTCTCATATCGATTCAGTAACGAGTTTTATGTAACAATATAATTCGGTTCACTGATAGGGTTACATTACGAGTGGTGGACCAGATAATGACGTGACAAGATTATTGAATTTCTCAATGTTTTTTAGGTACTGAATTTCATGAACTAAACTGTTGAACATGTCTATGGAGGTTTTCCACTGTTTGAGGTTTCCATCAAATTTCACTAGTTCAATTTTTGGTAACTTAACATGACTGTTGTTACCTATTACATTATGATCAAGATTTTCGACACCAAATAATTCATCATGAATAGATTTTGCCTCATAATATCTTGAAAATGTTCAAGTTCGGAACTAACTACCTTTTTTTTAAATAGGACTATGCAAAGTTATTTCTCAATTATGAGATAAGACCAAACCATCGACGAACATTCAGTACCAACTGAGATATTTGCCAAATTCTGTCAAAAAAGGCACATTTTATATTTTCAACTTTCCTCACGACACTCGCAAATTAATTTGAGACCACCCATTTATTTTAAATTTATATTTCAGTAAAAAATTCATCAACCGAGATCCGAAATTTTGTAAATGCGCGTTGAGAATATTTTTTCCTCCCGACGCCGACGGCTCTCCAAATTGATTAGAAGATGGAAATAGGTTATTCATGTAATTTGAAACTTTACACTGAAAAAAACCATCAACGGTTATCCAGTATAAACTGAGAAAATGCTTGATGAATATTCAGAAATATTCAGTAGACTTGGTAACGTCGCGTCGCCCGGAAATCCTACTCTATTCTACTTTCTTACTAACGACATGTCGAGAAAACTGGATAAGTTCACTCTAATGCGTATCTCCTGATCCGTGCTAGGATTCGCACGTTGAAAGATCAGACCTCGTTATCCACAGCTCGCACCAGTTTAAAATTTCTAGGTTTGCATGGATATGACAACTGGTTGATGAAAACTATCTATCAATATTATCAATACTATGAGATATTCTAACATTGTCCCTTTATATCATTAACAACATTTGTTTCATATTGTAGTAAAAATTCATAAGTCCTTTGTTTACTGAAAATCATTGTTATTTAGTTAAATTTTGTATAACTTGTTTTGAAAGAATTGTCCATCTCCTTTGGTTGCTTGTTGATTAATTGCTTTATGACGTTCTCTGCTTACTATCTCTTCTAGAACTTCACCATTACCTCTAACAAGTCTGAAACAAAAAAATTATATAGAACTTCACCATTACCTCTTGAAACAAAAAATATATATATACAGGGTGTCCCTGGACTTCCTCTTTTCCTCTCGGGAATGTATAGATGGGGTCAAAATATCACCAGTACTTCATATAACTTTTTTTTCATCTAGAATTAAAAATATGTTTTTGAAAATTGTTCAATTATTATCATGGACAGTGTTATCAATTTTCATCAAGTAACGGGTCAGTTCATTCATAACACGCATTTATCATTGAAGATCGGTTTAAATTATTTCCTGAAGGTGCCAACTTGGTTGGCACCCTCATGAAATGCGTTAATTCTGGTATGAAAGAAGTGTTTTTGTTGAATTCATTAAATGCCAAAAGTTCCCACTCTAGTGTATTTTTATTTTCTTTTGATAGTGTTTACAGTTATGTACTTCATAGGTGTATAAATAAAATTGTTTGAAAATTTCACATTCAAAGAAGTATGCTCTGATTATTTTTGATACTTCAACTTTTACAAATCATACATTTTTCTACTAAAATTCATGGTAAAAAATTGAAATAAATACCACAGAATAAAGGTGTTGATATAGTTTCTTGTGGAGCATTTTACATAAACATGTTGAAAACATTAGGCAACATCAATTTGAACTTCTTGTATTCTTTAGTATTTTCCAATTTTTTTGAAGTAATTCATGAAAGATTGTATCACATGACTCTCCTAGTTACAAGAAAATACACACACTGTTATTACTTTATTTGCAAATATTCATGAGGCCGTGGATTTTTTGAATTTCTTCCTGACGTTTCGCTGGCGCGAGTGGCTACCTTCCTCAGAGGTTTATACATCCTGAGTTAATATCTTCGATGGCTAGATATTACGGCTGCGTAACGCGTATTTATGTTGACCCTACAGGTAGTTTGGTGAGCTAATACCTGTACCTGGCTTAGGTGAATTACGTAAAGCGTCTTCATGTTGATTCAGGTAGTTTGGTGTGATAATACCTGTACCTGGATTTGGTAAATTGTCAATAACGTTCTTTGACCATTTTCTACCTGCCGTCATGCTGTTTGATATTCTTGTGAGCATTGTTTCCAACTTAAAAGTTATTTTGTCACATTTCCTGTGTTCTCAACTAAGAAGAATCTACTTTTTTCTTTCCATTACTACATTAAATTGGAAAATCTGCAATTATTATATTTACGAAGAAAATATCTGTGACATATTATAAAATTATCATTATAAAATTATCATTATCATTTTTAAATGGATTGATTCTGAGATATCAAGTTTCACTAAACTAACATTCTAGAAAGTGGGATATTATATTGGATCCCAGTTTATGATATTTATTCATCCAACATTTCGGGGATATTTCTATAATCTGAATTCTCAAGATTACACAAAAGTTCATATTTGTCACTCAATAAAAACTTGACGTGTAGGTATTTTTAAGAATTTTTTGTGTACCATGACTGTGGATCTGATAACATAGATATTATTTCCATATAGCTGCAGATCACGATTCTGATACTGAATATAATTGAGTATTAATCCAAATTTTCATGAATCTCCTACCAAATATAAATCAATATCAATACATATAATTTGTCTGTTTATCTGTGCTCAGTAGAAGTGAAATATGATGGTGTGCTATCCTGTTGAATTCATATGTGGTCTAATGTAATTGACTATTTGAATAACAAAAAAACACTGGGTTAAATCAAGAATTTATGTATTTTGTCAGCCCTCACAAAGACGTTTTGGGGTCGTTGCATCACCCGAAGAGGATTGTGGATACTTACAATCGAAATGTCGTGAAGTAACATGGCTTGAAATATCGAAAATTTTTGAAAAATATCTGTAAATTGGTATCACAGGTCGAATGCTTGTTCTCATTTCTCCAATAACAAACAATGTCACTGAACATGCCGTTATTTGTGAACTTACTTTTATCTGTCCACATAGTTTTGAAACCAATCCTACTCAAATGCGGTTTTTCTCTTTAACAGTCATCTACAAAATCTAATATGCATGTATTTACCAGGTTTTAAATTATTCACTTTTAGAATTGAACAGGTGATACTTGTATCAATACAGAATTGTACAAACTTGAATATTTTTAAATTTCCCACAAGGAAACTTCTTCCATCAATGTTATTTTTATATTTAATGGAATGAAAACTATTTGAAGAATCTTCGAAAAGTATTTTGACATCTTTTTTTTTAGATGTCTCGTTTCTTTTTGCAACAAAACCCTTTACCTGAGCTCAAACGCATTCAATGGGATTAAGTTCACAACGATGAAGGGGCAGACGCAGTATAATATTATTTCATTCCTTTGCTATCTTGTCAACTACATATTCCATGAAACGAGCTTTATTCAAACATACTATAGACAATAGTACTTTTTTAACCATACTCACATCAAAGAGTATGTTTTTTGTCGAACCCACTCAATGATATTCGCTTTTCTCCATGCATTAGTTGGTACTCTTCCAACTTTTCTGAAATGATAACTTGGATTATCCATCGCAATAATGGAGTTATTTTTAATTCATCAATATTAGGAATAAAATATGCTTTAGGTGAATATAAAATTTTTCATGAAAACTCACTTGTAGATTTTCATCCCTGAACAGGGGATTTAGAGGTATAATTTCTGGTTAAATTTACTGTATCTGTCTTCAATACGCCCCAGATTGGTGTTACATACCCAATCTAGATCAATAACGCTCTGACCGACTCTACTACAGAATGTAAAATCATCTATTCAATCTCTACTAGTTCAATAGACAAAATGACAGAATGTCAACCTGATTTTTTTCAACTTCTCTACTTTTTGACGGTTGACTCAACCTTCAATAACCTGTAACTTACTATTGGCAAAATTTCTCTCTTAATACTCACATTTTTTTCTAATGTACATACCTATGACGTCCTGTAGATTCTTCATACACTTTAGTGACGACAGACTGCTTCTTATCCCACTCTTCTTTAGTCATAGGTACCATAGATCTGTCATTGTTCTGTAAACTCAGTGGAATGTCCATACAATTTGCTTCTGCCTCTTTCTTTTTTTGTTTTTTCCTTTTTTCTTTTTTTTTCCTGTTCTCATCACTAGAAGAACTGCTGCTGCTACTATCACTGCTGCTACTGCTAGTACTTGTAGAAGATGATGTAGAAGATTCTCTTTTAGTTTTCTTCTTTTTTACATTTTTTGAATGTTTTACTTTTTTAGCCAAAGTTTTTTCTTCTTCTGATGATGAATTACTACTTGAGGATGATGAACTGGTAGATGAATATTTCTTATGTTTCTTTTGAATTTTAGCTACATTTTTCCTTTTAGAAATCCTCTCTTCTGGAGATGAAGAGTCACCTGAAAGTGAAGATGAACTTGCTGTTGAAGATGATGAGGAAGATGACGGGCTCAATGAAGCAGTGGAACTAGATCTTTTCTTTTTTTCTTTTCTTCTTTTTTTTGAATGGGAATCTTCACTTTCTGATGAGTTACTATTCAAAGATAATTTTCTTTTTCTAGTTTTTGTCTTTTCCAATCTATATGATTCATTTTTTTTCTTTGATTTGGCTTTCATCAGCAGTAGATAAATTACCTGTAAATGGAAAAGTAGGCTCTAAAATAAATTGAAACGTTTACTATTATTTATGCTTTCTGTGGTTCTTTTATTATAGCAACTTGAGTTGGCGACCAGAACACTCGGGTCATGGGTCCTAGGATGGAACCTTGAGGGACACCTGCTTTGACACCTCCTACATTTGAGTCGGTTGAGAGTCTTACAATTTGCTTTCGATGCAATAAGTACTATTCAAACCATCTAATGCTTCTGTGCTCAAAACCATAATGTTTCAGCTTCCGCAGTAAGATTCCTTGATCAACGAGGTCAAATGCCTTGGAAAAGTCACAGAATACAGCTGCTGAATAGGAACCAGAATTCATATCACTATAAATCTTATGCAGAAAGTTAAAAATTGCATCACTTGTATTTTTTGTTGTTTTGAAACCCATACTGCTGTGGACTCAATATGTTATTATTATAGAGAAAGTAAATTAGCCGCCTTTTTATGATTTTTTCAATAATTTTGGATAAGGTCGGAACAAGTGATATAGGTCTGTAGTTTATTGGATCATCCCTGGCACCACCTTTAAAGAGCGGAATCACTACAGAAGTTTTTAAAATTTCAGGACATGAGCCATTCACAAAGGAATCATTTATCAATGAGACAAGAACGTTCAAAACACAATCTGGCAGTGTCTCAATGATTTTGACAGACATTTCATCAATACCTGATGTTCTTTTATTTCTAATTTCTCGAATAACCTCTTTTAATTTGAATTGAAGGGGTTATATTTTTAGGAGTGATTAATTTTTTGGGAAAGAAAGGGATTAAATCAAATGTTTGACCTATTTGAAGACCCTTCAAATATTTAATTGGATCGTTGCTCGAGACTGTATCAAATGCATATTTTGCGGTTATTGAACAATAGTGGTTGTTTAATGTTGTGGGACTTACTGCTGTGTCCGTTGATTTTCCTTTAGATTGCTTTCCTCTTAATTCATTAACTATATTCCACCCTTCTTTCATTTTATTATCAGCATTATCAAATCTATTTTGATTTTTTTTTCGCAGCACTTACCACATTTCTATATGTGTTCCTGTATTTATTGAAATATTTAAGGAAACTTTAATTTTTTGCATATTTTCGGATATAATGCAGGGATCGCATATTTATTGATGAAACTTTTAATCCTCTAGTCAACCAAAGTTTCTTTTTTTTATATTTATTTTTTGGATTGAGAAAGATTTTTCAAAGAGATGCTTCAACGTTTTATAGAAATGCTCAAAATTGAGTACATTATTCCAGTCGCTTTCGAGCGATGATTGATAAAACCTATTATAGTTTGCCGTGCTGTATATACGACCATATCTGTGTTTTTTGTATTTGCGACAACTTTGAAATTGAATCTTGTGAAGATTGCATTGTGATCGGACAGATTTGAAGGGACAACATCACATGATAAAAGATTTTCGCTTAGATTAGAACAAAAGTAATCAATTAATGATGATGAGTATTGAGATGAGCGAGTTGCTGAGTTTACATGCATTTTTATATTGTAACATTCCAAGATATTAAACCGGTTTTGTCTATCCATAGAAACCTCATTTAACCAATTTATACTGAAATCACCAGCAAGCATTACTTGGCTACTGACCGGCAGTTTCAATAGCAATAACTCAAGTTTATCAATGAATATCATATCATATCAATATCAATGAAAGTAACAAAAACTGTGGTCTTCCATCAGAGAGTCGTGGGTTAAAATAAGGGTTCCACCATGTGAATATTCGATTCAGCAGTATTTTGCAATGGGCTGATAGCATGGTAGCTGTATTGGTTCATCATCTTCAAGCCAGTGTTCTTTCTTTGAAAATAACAAGTTACTCACCAATTACCAATATGAGTATAGGTCTGGAAAATTCACAGTTACGCTGGTGAAAAAGTATTAGATGTTTATGAAAAACAACAATACTGTTCTGTAAGGTCCTACCTTTCATGTGCTTTTGACACAGTAAATCATGAGATTATGAGCGAAAAACTTGAGTATTCGAGGATTAGGGGTAGGCAACTGAACTATTCAAGTCATACCTCAAAGATAGGAAAGCCAGAGTAAACTGGGAAAATGATGTGGCCGATTTGGTAGTCGTGGAGCATATGCTTTTCATCATCTATGTCAATGACATGATGTTCAATGTACTGAACCTAAGTGATTCTATTCATCTTCATTGAACAGTCAGACATTATGGGACAAAACGATGGAATCTGATAGATTTATCCAGTATTAGAATGAGAGTAACTACCTTTCCCTCAACTCTGGTAAAACACTGAGTCTCAACTTCACACTTGCTGAACAATAAGATGAAAATAAAGTTAAATTACTTGGAGTACACCTTGATAAGGGCTTGAATTTTTCATCACATATCAAGTACTATCTATAGTAAGACAATTAATAAGCATACTAACGAAAGAATATCTGAGTATGTTCTATATTTCAATATTTCATTCAATAATGGCATATATTTTATTGGTGTGGGGGATCTTCAAGCCACTCAGCAAAAATATTCACCCATCATAAAAAATACTGAGAATGATAGCGAAAAAAAGTTTCAACAAACATTGTAAACCATTATTCAGGCTATTTGGAACACTTTCCTTTCTGTTTTATATATAAATGTTTGATCTTCATGAAGGAAGAAATTTCCGAAGGCAGTATGATCATAAATGAAGAAATACATAAATAGTACACAAGAAAAAAACTGACATTCGATTACCTAAACCGAGAATAACTAAAACTTATCACTCTAACAGATATCTGGCAAAAAAATTTTACAATGATCTTATTAAAAACTCATTATATATTTACATGTATAGCAACGCTCATTTTCAGATGTTTCATCATAGTATGGTTTTAACGTATGAATTAACACTATTGTGTAATAGCATGAATAAAATATCGATCTGTCTATCTATCTATGTTCTTTTATTATATGGAATAATTCTAACGAATCCTATTTATGTTTTCGGAATTAACTGATTGTTCACCTAAAAGACCAATAAATACCTATCTATCTATCTATCTGTTTTGCTTGTGTACAGAGAATCTTGGGGGAATTCTCGCAAGGCAGCTACACTATATCGTAAATGCTTTCCTCACTGTCGTCAACCATGGTAAAGTGGAACAAAAATTATGTTTTACGTCTTTTTCAAACTCGAAACATGTCCAATTTTCGCAAGGCAGCTAAATTATAGCATAAATGTTTTCCTCATTGTCATCAGCCTTGTAAAGTGGAACAAAAATTATGCTTTAGATCTTTTTCAAACTCGAAAAATATTCAACATCGAGCACCGCCCAGAAGTGAAGAAGATGAAATTATTGTTCTGGCATATGCTGAAATGAATCCAAATGTTTCAGTTCGAGTGTTAGGTTGATAAGAGTAAAGTTTAGAGAATAAAAAAAAATAGGTACCACCCTTTCGAAGTCCATTTGGTGCATGGCTTGTGCCTCACAGATTTTGAAAAAAGGATAGGATTTATCCAGTGCTTTCAAGTTATAGTACCTGATAAATTCAGGTGTCCTAAATCGAATCTCCTGGAGTGATGATAGCAAATTCCATAATAATGTGTGATCAACACACATACTGGTCTAATAATAGTTCTCATCAGATAGCAAAAACTCATTTTCAAACAATGTGCAGTCTGAACGTGTGGTTTGGACTTTATAACGAATACACCATTGGGCAATATATTTACAGAGATGGATATGAAACAGGAGTCCAATGCCTGTTTTCCTGATTTGACTTCTTTATTTTTTCTATGGGGTAATCTGAAAGGAATCGTATACCAAGTACTTTCAGTAAATTTGAAGAAAGGTCGATACAATTTTTGATATATTTCGTTAAAAATAACTGTAGGGGCATTTTGATTATAAAAAATATTACCTCTCTGTATTCACAATGAATAGGAGACTCAAGTGAGATATACAAATGTTGCGAGTGTGCTATTTGAAAAAAGTTAGAGTTAGTTACTTAGAAACCAACATTTTTACGATTTCAAAGGTGATCTCACAAAGGCATGCTGACATCTTTCAAAACCGCCATTGTTTCATTTTCCCAGCTTTATAAATGACACAGATATTGCTTGTTGACTAAATTTTGGGACAGCTCATATATTAATTTCTAGATGCATTTCGCTAACATACCAGCTTCCTTGGTAGCTACCGAGCAAACTACTGTGTTGGCTAAAAGCGTCTAGAAATTAAAGTGTTTGTGAAAACCGTGTAATTATTATCATGTATAGTTATTGATTTTCATCAAGTAACAAGCCAGTCCATTCATAATTTGTGTAATTTGTAATGTGCGCTCCAGATATAGCTACTAATTTACTACTAAAGTATGTTTCATAATGAATTTGATAAATGAAATCACGGGATCGGAAGATTAAATTGTTATTTGCAATGATAATGAAAGTGTGCATAGAATTATTGAAAATAATCAACATTATAGCACACAAAACACATAGATGTGTCATTATATTCGTGATTTAGTTCAGAGGGAACTTATTGTTGTAAGTTATAGTGAGTCAAATGATATGGTTGTGAACATTTTAACCAAGCCTTTGTCACATGAAAAACATCAGCTTTATGTGTACGAACTAAATATTAAATCTCCAGAAGATAATTCTGTAAGGGAAAGTGTTATAAATCATAATTGAGTTTAGTGTACTTTCATAACTTTGTTTCACTCTGTACTTATATATTTCAGTTAGCTATTGTATTGACAGATGTCAAATTATTGTAATCGTAAATAAGCGTTTTAAACTCGAAATATATTTAAAATTATAACTGGCTTGTCTTTTATTTCTGCACACAAACTTAAGACCACCAGCTTTGGGTTGATACATTGTTGATTCCCAGATTAAATCAGTTTGAAGTGAAAACATCCCTAATTCACGAATTTTTTTTCTGCATCAAATAGATCAACTGAAGGATAGAAAACATATTAGCAGATATGAATGAATTTATTATTCCCAACAAACATCACATGTTTATAAAAATTATTACTAGTTTTTCCCAACACCAAACCGTTATTTTAACACCTCAACATGTATTTCGATCACCAAGTGATCATCTTAAAGAAGATCAGTTTGATCTTCCAGTAATGAATTACAAAAAATGAAAAGGTTGAGAATATGAAACTGATTTTCAAGAAGTCAACCTGTCACAACTTCAGCTTGATCTAAACAATGTGCAAAACATACTGTCAACCCAAAGACATATAACTTCAGATGTGGAAAATTAATGCAAACTCTCAAATATGGAATACCTTATGTTAAACTGAGATTAAACTGCTGCATAGACAAACTTGAGCAGCCATATTTCGTGAACCAATCTGAAGCCTTCCTTACCTTATCAAAGGAGCTCTGGCCTAAAATTTTTGTGAGAATTTAAGCAATTCAAATGCATATTTTTCAAATCACTTAGTAATATTCATAAAAAGTACCTTGTTTATGTCAAGGTAGTCTTCATTAACAATGAAATATTGTGAATTTAGTTTATATACAACTTAACACACTTCAAAAACTCACTGTTTCGAAAATGATTTCGATGGAAGAATAATGTCCAACGATCCAATATTCAAATCGATGTTATGCCTATTAAGTTTGGTGAAGGTATCTTCATACCGATTATTTATTTTGAGATGGGATAGTCATATATGTACTTGCTTTTACAATTTTAAATAACACAAACTAACCTCTAAAATAAATGATGACAAACAATCAAACATGCAACGTTGACAGATTCCATTTGAATTTGAATGATGCACAATCAAAATTTGGATACCACCAAAAGATAGTGTATGTTTGAAAACATAAGACATCAGATTCACTTTTAATGGTTACAAGTCAAACAGCAGCAGTAAACAATTTAAGAATTATTAAATTCTTCATTGGTGAATAAAGTACTGTTAAATCATTTATCTTTAGTCATGTCGTTCAACTATGAGGATCCAAAATCCAAACCGTAATTGGTTTTTTCATGGGTCTTTTTCTAAAAGTGAGGCCTCTGAGTTGATTTGCTTCGTATCTTTATTGCATATGAGTATTATAGGTGTAATGGGTAACGTGTTTGTGACTAGACGGAAACACCGTTCGGTAAAGACTAAAGACATTCGGCCAAGAAATTAAAAGGTCTGTCTGTGCGTGATTTTTCTGATTACGAAACTTTTGTCCGTGGAAAATACTTAAGGTTTGTGCTCAATTGAGGAGATTGTTTTAGTTTAATAATAAGCTACTAGATACTACTTCATGATAACCGTTTTTTAAAATATATGTTATTATAAAAGTTAGTCGTCGAGAAGTATTGTTACAAACTTTGATTTCACCTACTTCTTTGATTTTTCCACCATATTCAAAAGTTTATTTTATATTTAAATTGGATGAATCTGTTTACCGAAAATGTCTAGCAAAAGTATGAAGGCAGCTCATATAAATATTACAGCAAAAGGAAATTGGAATAGAGCTTATCTGATATAGAAAATAAAACATTAGCACAATATCTATCGCGGAAAAAGATTCCACATTTGTCGGTCGAGCTATTCAAATGTGTCACTATATAGGTTAACTATCATTTCATTTGACCTAATGAGATAAAAACATATTTAGACCGACGATTTTTCTGATGGTCGTACGTGGGCTCATCTTTTTCTGAAAATACACAAATCAGAGCTGTTGCAAAAGTTTTGCAGTAATATTAAACGTGTCGTGCAGAAGAAAATGAAAAGTCTACAAAGATACTACGATCATTTGAAGGTAGAAATGAAGGCATCTCGCCCAATTTGATGAATTCATTCCATTGAAGACCAAAAACAAGCTTTGTCACATTTTGAAGCGAAGCAGATATGAAAAAATCAAATGGATGAAATTAGAAACATAGCAAACGAGACATTTTCAACATTTCTCATTTATAAACTCCACCACATGAAATTTCAAACTTTGGACTCAGATATTCATACTAAACTCAATGGTATAATACATATAAAGTTATAACATTGGGAAAAAATGTGATACCCTCTTTTGGAACAGACCTTTGAATAAAAAGAAAGAAATGGGCCCAAGGTAAGGAAATATTTCCACTCTGAATTCAGTTCGAAGAATTCATATTAATTGATCAATGAAATTCAAGATATTCCATTGACCCACAATATTATTAGTTTAGTGGAAAATCTATTGAATAAAAAAGCAATCAATCCAATAGTGAAACAAGAAATATTAGTCTTGTTGACTGTGTTTGTCGCAAAATCATTTCCAATTTAACCACATATTTTATTCATTCAGTGAAGGACTTATAATAGGAAATCCAGTACCCCGCTTATTGTTGGATATTTTTTTATTGATATAGATATGATGATGATAGTCTAGTTTCTTTCACAGAAAAAATGGACTCTTGAATTTCATCAATTCTCTGCGCGCTATCCAGAACTGAAACTTAAAAAAAAATATAAATGTACATACATACACACACATATACATACATATATATTTGAACATTATTATCAACATGAACATTAATGTACTCATCAGATAATATATCTATACAAACAATATTTTGTTTAATATATTTTTTTGAAGCATTCGGTAGCTCATTGTAAAATTTGATACCTTTATAATAAATCGAATTTAGCACAATATTTGTTTTAATTTTCATTAATTTCAGATTGCCTGAATATCTTGTCAAATGGTTGTGTTGGTCACCATTTGACATTTCGTCAGTACCTAACTTATTTCATGACCGTACCAGTTTGACTAACACAGGTTGAAAACATTGAACACTAACAGTGAAAATTCAATTGAATTTTTTGTAGAAAAAATTACCTAGTATGAAATATTAACGTCCTAAATATATCATTTAACTTCGTTTTTTGTGTTAGTTTTGCGATAGAGGTGTTGGCTTCAACATGTCCCCAGCAGTTTAACTGAATTAATGAAACATTCAATGAAACAATAAATGAAACATTAGATCGCTTATTTATTTATAAGGAAAGCCACAAACCACAAAGGAAACTATGAAATAAACAATAAAATGAAGTCGGTCTGCGTTGCGGTAGATGTAGCACCTCGAAGAAGTATTATCTAGGAGTTTGTTAACTGCATGTTAACTGTTAACCTATCAAATATGCAGGTGTTGTTAGATTATGATTTGTGTTTTCGACAAGGAACATTCAGCATGATTTAAGACTGATGGGTCCAGTTGATATGTCGAGAAGAGTACTTCGACCACGCCACTGAAGATGACCGCCACAGTTGCAGTTGAAACGTTTGGAGATTGTAACCAAAGAAGACCACGACAAAACCCGGAAACCAACCAAACCAAAACATTCAGCATAATTATGAAAAACATGGCAAACTAGTAGAATGCCAATTGCAAACCAATTTTCTAGAAACTTTTGCCTTTGAAGTTAAAATGCTTAAAATACGACCGCTATTTACGTTACATTTTTGGAAGCAAATAATAATTTGTTGACAAAGGTCTGCTGCGGTTTGTATAAATCGCTAGAATATATTTTAGGTGAAATTTGTCCAAAAAAGGATTGATGTATAATATATAGGTGCTGATATTGACCATTACTGTAGACCAAAGTGTTTTCAGTTTCAGTCACTTTCTGAAGAAATTACAAAATCTCAACTTCAGTGATAATTGTTTGAGCTTATATGTTTATGAAACAATAATGATAAAATTCATAATTATTATATATTTTTAAAGTATTTTATACATATTTTCAATCTACAAAATTTTCCGAAGTGTTTTCTCTAAAGAATAACTGAAACGATTCAGATGTTACCCAAGTACACGTATACTTGGTTTACTTCATTTGAAGGATGTAATAATTAATGATTTCCTTCTCTTTTATTTCCACGCCACGCAAGTCCGATATCTTCAGTGAGGTTAACTATTTGGGTATTCATATACCTACAGATATTTCAAAATTGGGATAAAAAGAATAATGCTTTTTATATATTCGTTTATAAAACAACAATATAAATTAATTGGCGCTCCGGGGCGACTTCATTGATTCCAGTGGCGCATTTGCTTTTTCAGCTGCAGAAAAACCCGGAAAAACCTTCAGCACTACATTATCTGAAGATCTTGATCTGCCAATGTACTTTCTCTCATAAAACAAAATGTAGGGTATTTCTAGAGGCTCCAATAATTTCAATACATCGTCAGAACACTTTGTGACACGACTATCATCAAACTTAATCCGGAATTAATAGTGTTGGATTGGTTTCCGTGGAAACAAGGATGAAATCAAGATGTATAGAAGCCATTGTTTTTATCAATTCGCTATTATTTTTTCGAAAACGCGACGCGAGAAATGAGATATTGACTCAAATATATGCACATGTTGATTGATAGTGAATAAGTCAAAATGTGTCGCGCGTATTTCGTTTAGATCTTTGATTTATGAACCATAAAGTGAAAAAAACTATTTTGGTACCATTTTATTCCCAAATGTAAAAACACTGAAAATTGATGTGCCAACTTGACATTGTCAAGTAGTGTCACTTGGAGTGTACTCATCACATCTGTGAATGGAATGCTGAAATTTGGTATATCTCTACATTATTCCTTTATCAAGAGTGAGGCAAGGTTCCAAATGACGCGATAATGACATTCTTGAGGCTAGTAATTGTCTGCCTGAAAATTTCGTCCAGTTTTTACGAACATAATAAAATGAAGCCAATTTGACTAAACTATTTCCTTGATACCCTGACGAAATAATTTCTGAACTTCAATACAATTATATATACGATAAGCTTCAACTAATTCAAATTTACCGTTAAACTAAATATTCAAAATTCAGATAAACCTGACCCCTCAACATCAAAGTTATAGCCACACAGATTACAACAATTACGATTAGACTTAGAGAAATGATGTTTAGATAAGTATCTTGACAGTTTCCCCGCATTTTTTTACTTTCTTAGACATCCACTTGAGCAGTGTACAATACATTAATTGCGCTATTTCTGAATAAATGACAGTTACCACAATTGAAACAATTTGTTTTGTTGATTGACATTAATTTATATAAGATTCCACGTGTTGTTCCACCGATGAACTGCATTTTTTTGTTGTTGTGTAGCTATTTTTCCGCAAAAGCCAAGTATCTGGTTGTATGTACCTTTCAATAGATATAACATATCTTCACATTTAATCAAGATCATTTTTCTTACTGTAGAAATAATAAATTTTGACATCTGACATTACAAACGATTGTCTTGGTATGGATATTGTGAAAGACTGAACCACATATATAAAAAAATCATTACAGTGGTTTTTGCTGCATTTAATTAGTTTCGCTATTACTTGCCTTTCTTCAAACTCAACAAGCAAACTCAAAATGTAGCAAATATTACCGTAACAGATTTGTCCAATCAACAAATGCAAATCGTTGAAAATACAAAATTTAACGCCAAATGTTACTATCGTTAAAATAGTTCAATTTTTCATATATCACAATGTATTTACTTTGACCTCTATTGTGACGCAATAGGATGTTTGCTCCTACGAGGTATACTGTTTCATATCTATGATGATTTTCATTCTGTGCTTTATTTGAAAGTTCTGGCAACGTTGGTCGTCGTATATGACGTTTCAACGTCACAATTTTCTGTTTGTTTTGAAAAATTGTTATGTTTTGGAGAGAGTTGAGTATTTACTTCTGAATTTATTATGATGAATGATACTAGATTTTTTGTTTGCAGGTAATGCCTTGTGGAGATTTTTTACTGCAAGGTTACAATAAAATTCACACGCCGTGTTACTATGAGTGATACTGATGATACAGAAGATTTGTTACTGATTCCTCCTGATTTTTTTGTGGTAGAATCTGATTCCAGTCTCGTGGGTCCTTATTATAATATTGTCAACAGTCTCATAAAGCAAGTAGATAATCTCAAAAATCGAATAACATCGATCGAATGTAATGAAAGTTTTTTGAGTAGTTCATTGGATTATTACATAGAATCCCCCCATAAAATGCAAAATTCTGTGAAAGGATTCAGAAAATATAATAGCACTGACGATATTTGTCTTCCTAGTAGTGCACAAAGTACTCCTCAAAAACCTCTCACAAAATTTAAATTGAATTCCTTACCAGCAAGTCCCAACTTGGATAGATTCAATATCGGTAGAACCTCAGGCCTAGATAAAGAACCTATCACAACAAAACTCAATGATCTTGCTAAAGTTGGTAGTACATTACCTACTAATCCAGTGAAAGAGGATGATCTCATGCTGGGAGAAATAGACGTCTTTTTGTCCAAGGTAAAAACAATTCAGAGACTGAATACTGCAAGAAATTTGGAAAATGAATTCAATAGGTACAATTTGACTAGCCAAAAAAATAATGATATTGATGCTTCCCAAAAAAATGTTGATCAACAGCAACAAAAATGTGATATGCAATCAACAGCTATAAAAGAGCGTTCCCCTGTGAAGAAGAATACTTTTCAATCTGGTGATAAATCAGAAAGTGTGCCTGATTTGAAGAATGATGTGGGAGATATTATTTACAATGATAGAATATCGGCTGTGTATCAAAGTAATTATGAAAAACACACAAATAGACCTGAGATTACAGAAGAAAAATATCTTCTGAATTCAAACAATCATATGAATTTTACAAATGACTCATCAAGCAGCTTTGATAGATATCCTCTCTCAGATAGCAGTACAGATTCAACTCTGGTGACCCGATATGAGAGACATACGAGAAACAGAAGTGATTTGGTAACCAGCCCATTACATTCTAATGCCCTTAGTATTCTCAATGTACACAAACAATTATTAGAAACTAATGGGATAAAAAAACATGGAGATAAAGCAAAAGATCCAAAACCTAGGAGTAGTAATACAATGGGAACTAGTATAGGCAAAAATCTAGGTTTGCTGAGCTTAGCGGATATTTGGAGTAACAATTCTGAGATACAATTGAACCAGTCACAGTTATCTCAGAAGCTACAAGAAGAAAAATTGCGACGGCAGGTAATTGAAGTATTCATGAGTGTCAATTAGTATTAGTGTTTGTACATCATTATATATACACATTTTTCTGGAAAAAGAGGCTAGATGGACTGCATACAGACTTGTGCACATTGCCAATTGCACAAATCAATTCAATGCAGAGTGCAACAGACTGTTGGTTAACATTGGAAGTCACAGCATTCTGGAAATGACCTCTGACTTTATGCCTCCCAACTGTCAACTACGAACTGCCTTATGAAGTACACAGATGGATCAAAAACACCTTCCGGTTCTGGCGCAGGTGATTTCAGTCGCAGACCCAGGACAGAGTTATCTACCTGCCTAGGAACTTATGCGACTGTATTTCAAGCGGAAATTTACGCTATTGAATTGTGTGCGGAGAGATTGGATAAATCCAACTTCACTCACAAGTCAATAAAAATACTCTCGGACAGTCAAGCGGCGTTGGAAGCTCTTGGCTCCCGCCGAACAACGTCTAAATTGGTAGCAAACTGCCAAAAAAGACTCTCCTCGATAGGAAGACTAAATAGATTGTCCCTGATCTGGATTCCTGGCCATACTGGCCTGGAAAGCAATGAAGCTGCTGACTCTCTTGCAAAGGAGGGCGCTGCAAGCGCCTTCATTGGACCAGAACCTGCCATTGGCATCGCTTTGGGCTTTGCCTAACAAACACTTAACACCTGGATGGCAAGAAGAGTTATGGACTTCTGGCAGAATCTTCCAAGATTGGCTCACTCCAAGACGTTTATTCACCCTTCGAAGCTTGATTCCAGACATGTTTGGACTACAGTAGGGATGAACTACAATGTCTAACAGGCCTTCTTACAGGTCACTATCATTTGAATCATCACATGCAGAGACTTGGACTGTCGGAAGACAGTGTGTGTCACCTCCGTCTGGAAAATGATGAAACTGCAGAGCATATACTTTGTGCCTGCCCCGCTGGGGACTGAATACAAACTAATCGGCTTCGTTAAGAAGCTGGGTTTATTTGGCCGAGTGTGAATAGGTGTGAGCCACAATAAACCCTTATGGGTTGTGGTGGAGGGTCGAATAGACCCACTCACTTTAGACCTACCTATCTATCTACATCATTATATAAAAAATGTCACTTCATAATACCATATACATGGTAAGTCAAATTCTCATATGAAAGTTTTACATACAGAAAAAAAATATTTCCAAACGCCTTTTTCTTGAAATGGTTGAAATTAATTAAGTCTTCTAATTGTATGAATAAGACAACTGACATTGATTTTGTCAGCAGTATATACAGTAACTTACTGGAACTACACCAAAAATCATAATGATAATAATGAAAATTGTATCAATCAACTCTCTCTTTAGAGTCAAAGATTATCAAATCATCATGCCCATTGAAAAGTGACATTTATGGGAAGGTATGACATTTGTCAAATTCAAAAAATCCATACATGTTTATTCAGATTCATACATTATTTTCAAAAAAAAAACAGATTCAAAGGAATATTATCTTTGACTGAACTGGATAATGCTATTATAAATTTATTTTGTCTGGTTCAAAAGGAAGAGTTGATCTCCTTCGTGTAGGAAGCAGGACATTTTTAATAATCATTTGATATCACGTACCAAATGATATTTCTAGCTAAATATAAATTCACTGAGTTATGCATGAACATCTGAAAAAATTACGTGCTGGTGCTCAATTAATTTTGTCTTTGGTAAAAATAATTCTGGCCGTTGTACACGAGAAATATTATACTTAGTGTAAATGTATAGTTTGTTTTTTATGAAACCTTCAGAAAACATTTTATTGATTAGCGATTTGCTTGAGATGAGAATAACGCATAAGTGACTATTTACATTTACAGGTTACAGGCATAGACTATGTGGGCCCTTATAGTATCAAAGATGGAAAATCTCAATAACGATTCGTGTATAGACACGCCTAAAGAAGCTAATGTTGCGTTTTAGTAAAACTGTATACTGAAAATCTTGCATTAAAGTGTTTTTTGAATACTTTATGGATTTTCATCAAGTATCGGCTGATTCCATCACATATTTTAGTTGACTTAGTTTATTCTCAGGGTGTCTCTGTATCTGTAGAGTAGGGAGGGTGAGTGTAAGCCCACAGCACTTAGGCCACATGTGACCCATTGTACATCTTCCCGAGAAGTTGTTCACCTAGGTCATCGTCCATCCTGTCCTTTTCAGGAAGGTGGACAGGTCACTGGGAGACATCTCCTTTATATCGGCAGGTGTAGGCCAAGACTCGCCGAACACACACTCTCTTATTGATGATAACTCCGGCTTTGGGCTATCTATCGAGCGCGTCCCCAGGTGGCGGATAGGGGAACGGCCAGGGGACTGGGGGCCCTGTCCGGGAAGCCAATGTAGCCTTACGGATGGGATCGCCGGCAGGAATAAGTAGGGTGAGGGGACCAGCCTACCCAAGCTAAGGTGTAAGGAATCGTGCCGACAGCTGAATGGCCGCAGGGCGATATGCGGTTACGAACGATCCTCTTGGGGAACCGGGCGAAACCTCATTGTAATCAGCCTTCAGCGAGGCTCTGCCAGAGGTGACCAACTCTTCCATTGCTACTCGTGCAAACCTCAATCTATGGCGGTGGCTGGGGATGAACAGAAGTGTCCACCCCAATCTACTGCTCAGAAGTGTCCACCCCAATCTACTGCTCAGAATGAGGCTGGACATAGCAGATCACCTCGTGACGCAGCACAAAAGCCAAGGCGTAGGCGCATTTGCGGCACCGAGGCCATAAGGAAAAAGAGAGCGAAAGAGGCAGGAATGGCAGCAACTGTAAGTGAACCCTTCTCCAGAATGGGAGAGTCTTATAAAACAACTACTGCTGGAGGAACTGGACAAGATTATCTTCTCCGCCTCCAGCAGCAACCAAAGGATGCAATCTTGCCAGGATCACCCTGGGCGACTCTGGGAAGCTGGCGCCGAAGAAATATCTGGCGATGACCAGGAAAAATCTACGCTTGACAGTAGGATTTCCGACTGGCCACGGTCAACTAAGGAAACACCTCCATAATATGGGGCTAGTGGATACACCTCTATGCAGGATGTGTGACCAGGAAGATGAGACTGTCAGGCATGTCCTATGCGAGTGTCCGGAGTTATCGTCAATTCTCAGGGGGTGGTCTCCTATAAGAAAAAAATAAGGACGATTGTTGTAATTTATTGATGTTTCTTGTAAATTTTCATTTTATTTTATTGGAAAAATGTACCTCGCTGAAATAGTGATCGCAAATGAAACAAATGTAATAGACCTCTGCATTTTCAAAGTCACAAACTGATTTATTTGAAAAGTATTTGAGATGAACGATAAATATTCAATATTTTAAATATTTCTTTATTCAACAAGCTTTTTCTTTTTAGCACTGTGAAGATATGATTCAAAAGTTACAAAACCGTAATTTGGAATTACAAGAGAAATTATCAGTTGCCATAAAGGTAGATGACTCAAAAAATAAAGCAATACATCAATTCCAAGACGCACTTGAAAAAATTCTGATGAAATTAGAAAGAATTGATAAAGAGAAGCGGGAATATGAAAATGAGATATCAAAATTGAAGAAAAAACACTTGAATGAAATGGAAAATGCTACTCAGGTAATTAGTACAACCACTGTCAGCAAAGACTAGTTGTTGAATTCTGTTTGATGAGTTTTCTTGCCAAATATTCATGAATTAATATTTATTTGCATTTCTGGGAATATTGTTTTTAAATTTGAATTGAAAAGGGCATGTTTTTGAGGATTGAGGATTAGTTTTTGAGGAAAAAAGCTTTTTGGCTTTCTACTTCTCCAGCATTGAACAAAAAAATGTGGGATATTTAGAAAAATCCAAAAAACAAATAAGTACAACAAAAGCTCTTTTTAAAGATATGTCGGTCATGCACAGCAGGGATGCTACGAATATGAAATTTTGGATCAGTATACGGAAATTTTACATAAAAACTCTGATACTGGTGAATCTTCATAAATTTGGAGCTGTATTATTTATAAACTCTTTGAAGTCATCACTTAATGTGTTTTGATAGCGCTATATTTTTCATTCCATGTTTTTACTGCTCTTTCCGCTGTTATATATTGTTGTAAATCATGCCCGAAAAGAAATAACCCCGGCCGCCACTGGTAACCATAAACCAAACGTGACGTTGCTGAGAGCCTGGGAATGCCAATGTTACCTGCCGCTTGAGAAGCAGCAAGAAATATGCTACCGTTGTCGATGAAACTTCGGCGAAAATTCTATGATGTTCACTTTCTGTTCGTTTATCAGTATTTTGTTGTATCTATTTTTGATTTATTTATATGCCTCATCATAACCCTCTTTAACTTCCTCCAGATGAATTGTAGCTAAATGAAAAGAAAGAACAAATAGGTAATGATTTGATTTCAGTTGTAGGCTATCCTTTGATTTCAATTTTGATTTCAACTGGCTGGGTTAGCTAATCATGGGTTTCTATGACATATGTAAAGGGTTGAAAATAATCTATTTCATAAATTAAAAATTTAGTTGATGAATTTAATATTCACTTTTCCTTCAGTTGTGTTGAGCACAATAGCACAAAAGTGTTTTTATGTACTTTTCTATTATTTTCATTGATGTTCGAAAATGACAAACGAATTGAGTTTAAGATTTTATATTGTCAATGATTGTTTCATTGGGTTTATGGAACTTTTGTACTGCATATACCTATAATAGATTTTTAATTTTCTTGTGTGACTTTTATTACCTTGTACATGAACCACTGAAATATAAAATTGAAAACCGAAAACAAATGAGCTCTCAAATTGAAATAACAGCAAAATCATGCTTCAAAAGTTTCTGAGCAATAATTTAAAAACATTCTATTCAATTTTGTTAATCCCAAAATGAGGTAATAAGTCTGCAAATTAATTTTGGTTGCCCTAGTGGTCAATTTACGGTACTACTTAAAAATGCAAAAACAATTATATTGAATGCAAAAATAATAATTTCTGATTCTTATCAGATTATACTGAAATCATTCAAAACTTTTATAGTAGATTTGGTTATAGTTTTTTATTTCGGTTACAGTTATGAACCTCCATAACATCCCTGATGTACAGAAGTTTCTTTTGTATACAAACTGAAAAAAAGCCGTTTGAAACAATTAATTTCAAAATATGGATGTTGAATTACAAGGAAATCACTTATTCTTATTCAGTTACTAATCCAAATATTCATAATGTAATTGAAACGGTTCAGTCACAGGAAAGCTACACAATGTAATATACGAAAAAAATATTGAAACAAAATTTTCCTGGTGTACTGCGGAGTTTCGTGTTTAGACACTTGACTTATCGTTTCTGATAACATTACAAGATGAAACACTCATTTATTTCAAAAAGGAAAACTAAGTTTCCTACATTTTTTGTTTAACAATAGAGAAATACAAAGCTAAAACGTTCTTTTCCACTAAATTCGTTTTTGAGTTTTCAATTCAGAATAATAATGAACAATGTTTCTTATTGTTTTTTGGTTTTATAACCACCCACTGTCTGAAAAATTAACAAAGTTAAATTAATATAGAATCGGCTGAAGTTAAAGTGCATTTCAAAAAGTAGGTACGTTATATAAACCACTGAAAAGTGTGATATCTGGACATATCATTCTTTTGACGTTTGTTAAAGGAAATATACTTGTTTCCATTTGAGGTATTCTTCACAAATGAATGTATTGGAACAGAAAAGGATAGTTTTCTGAAACGTTAACCACCTAAAGAGAGCTAGGTATAGAATTTTCCTTTGATAATTTAATTCATAGACAAAGTTTATATATACAAGTTAGTGTCTAATTTGACTCTTCAGTGGTTTAATTACGCATTAACACTTTGTTGTGAACTTTTCAGTTTTTCTTCAGCAGATTTTCTATTGATTCAACTTTGTTTAATTTCAAGATTGCGGGAGGTTATAAACCCCCATAACAGTAAAAAATACCAACTCCAATCATTCAAAGAAGTTAAATAAACAAATAGTTTTCAAAACCTCAAGTGTAACCTTCAGTAAGTAAGGTCGACATCTCCCCTTACGAAGACGCCATCTCCCCTTAAGAAGACGCCATCTATGGAATCAATAGGGAACCTAATCCAAGAATGTCAAGGCGATCAGTTACAAAGCCAAGCTTAGTCGATGAGATTCGTCTTCTGTCTTTCACTGTAGCTTTCACTTCACTGCACCGAGTTCTCCTGCATCGTCGTAAGGGGAGGACAGTTAAGTCCAGACAGTTAAGTCCAGACAGTAAAAGACAGATGAACAAATCTCGTTAGCTGTCGATGTCGAAGCTTGAATTTGTAACTGATTGCTTTGGGAGCCTCGTTACCTTTGATATTCGGGAATTGAGTTCTCTGTTGATCCCAAAAATGGCGTTATTGGGAGAGAAGATGTCGGCGACTACTTAACCAGGCTTGTCCCTTGAGGACACTTGAGTCCTGCAACGCATTTGTGGTGCAGCCCAGAAGCACTGATGGACCTATGGCGGGTCGAAACAGCACTGTCTGGTGTTGAATCATTAATACGTTGTATTAAAAAACTATGAACATATATCCGGATATGTTTCGTTTCTGAGTTATAGTATTTAAAAAATATCAAATATCTTTACACTTATTTGGTTGAAATCTGCTACAGTTATTTGAAGTAATAAGGCGCTTATTTGGCCCTAACTAGATTGAAACTATTAGGTCCAGTGGAGTCGCAGTGAGCACCACAACCGACATCACCGGAAAAAAAGTATGCCACTAACTTGTTGTAGTTTTTTTAGATTAATCAACTCAAAATACAACTTTTTCTCGATTGTATTTTCTTCGTTTTCGAGAACACCTGCTTTGGAGACCAGCTGGCAGTGATAGTGATGTTATATCAGTGAAAGTCAGAGCTGTCAATTAGCAGTGATTCCATCATGAATAATTTTACTAACGCTGAAATGGCTGACATGCATTTTATTTATGGATTAGCAAATGGAAATGCAGAAGAAGCAGGACAGATAGCAGAGTAATATCATGTGATTAATTAAACATTCAGAACGATACATGCAAGATTATGTGAAACTGGGAGTTTTAATAAGAAAGCAGGTGATGGAAAACCAGAAACTGTAACAACGCCTGGACTAGAAGACGCTATACTTGATGCGATGGAAGAAGATCTTTCAAATAGTATCAGGAAGATTGCACTGCAGCTGGAAGTCAGCCCAAAAACCGTATAAACAGTTCTAAAAAGAAACCACCTATACCCATATCACATACAGCGGGTCCAAGCTCTACTGCCTCGGGATTTTCACCCAAGATTAATGTTTTGCAAGTGGTTGATTCATATGATAGCACACAATTATAATTTTTTACCAAATATTATATTTATGGATGAAGCAAATTTTTCACGAGATGCTATTATGAACTTTTACAATGACCATTCTGGGCCGACGAAAATCCCCCTTGTTATTAGAGAAAGTCATTTTCAGCAACAATTTTCACTGAACGTTTGGGTAGGAATGATTGGTGACTATCTAATTGCTCATTTTTTCTACCAGCAAGATTAACAGGTGAATCCTCCACGGACTTTTTGCGAGATCATTTGCCCCTTTTTGTTAGAAGAAGTGCCGGTACGTGTAAGAGGCAACATGTGGTTTGTGCACGACGGGATTCCAGCCGATTTTAGTGTTGTTGCTGGTCATCATCTTGACATCACCTATCCTAATCGCTGGATTGGACATGCAGGACCTCAAAATTGGTCACCTTGCAGTCCTGATATGAATCCTCTAGATGTCTACTTATGGAGTCATCTGAAGGCTCTTGTTTATAAAACTCCTGTACTAGATGTGAATGACTTGAGGAATGAAATAATTGACAATTGCAGTGTCATAACGAAAACTTCAGGTATTTTTGAACGTGTCAGACAGTCAATGACAAATCGATTGCAGTCGTTTATTTTATCAGAAGGTGGACATTTCGCTCATTTACTTTAAGGTCGAATAATCTAAAAAAATAAAAAACTACAAAAAATCAGTGGCGTTCTTTTTCTCTCAATATTGTTGGCTGTGGTGCCCACTAAGCGCCTTATTATTTCAAATAACTGTAGCAAATTTCAACTAAAGCGATATAAGGATATTTATGATATTGAATAAATAGCAGTTTTATTAAACTTCAATGTGCTGTATCTCAGAAACGAAGCAACTCTGGACATATGTTTGTTCTTGAAATAACCTAACGAATCACCCTCTGAAGTTTCGTATCCTCTGAAGTTTCAAACTGTATATATGTCAAATTAAAAAACTACTTTTTTCAAGTCGACTTACTATTTTATGGAAAACCCTGGCCAAATATGCAAAATATTTCGTGGAAACAGTTTTGCCGAAGATTTTTTTTTCTAATTAAGTCTTTAATTTGTTTTTTTTCTGTCAATTTGCAATACATTGATATTTTCAGAAACTGATTTACTATGAACAAGAAGTATCGAAAGCTGTCAGTCTAGCCCACAGCAATGAGGAAAAAATGTCCATAATGGAAAATAGATGCTTTGATTTACAGAATGAAATACAATCGGTGGAAGTGAAGTACAAAGATCTTCAAGAACATTATGAAAGAGAAATAGAAAGAAATAAACAACTTTCAGAACTTCTAAACAGTAAAGAAATGGAATTTATTGAGGTATTTTTTAATTATTTCATTGATGATTGGATGGAAATGTGGAAAACAATTTTCTCTATATAACACATTTTTCAAAACATAT